ATTTTATTTAAAACATTCTGGCAAGAAAGAAGTTTTAGTCTGAAAGACTTTTTAAAATGTAGTATTTCAATGTAGAAGAATTGGCACTTGCTTGGAAAAGAATAGAAGTTAGCAATGTACTACTAATGTATGTTTTAAATTGCGTAAAATTAACGGCATGTTAATATGTTCTTATATACAATGTGAAGTATTATTTTAAATGTTAAGAAATACTATGATATGGTTAAAGTGAAAGTAATGCAAAAAAAAATTAAAAACTTATTCGTGTGACTGAAAAAAGACCAAATTATGGTGAATATGTGTTAAAGGTTGAATGAATGTAGTTAGGCTCTCTGACGCTACACTTCAGAGTTAGCCACTTTCAGAATAGTACCTCAGGGTTTAGAGTTGAAGATAGGGTGTGTTACGAGGTCTTGTTATGTTGAATTTTAACACGTTAGTGTTTTGATTGTAGGAGGCAGTGTTGAACACGTATACATAAACACATTCTTGTTTGGTGTTCTTTTACAACACATGTCAGAGAGCGCAGGGAGAGATAATTAAAATAAAGTCATGAATGAAATAAGAATGTTAAGAGAAATGTAAATATTTATGTTACTTGCCATTTCATTGTGTAACATTTCATTCAACTAGTTTTCCTTCCAGATCTCTGGACGGAACCAGATTTGAATAAAAGCTCCTGTTTATATGCAGTACAGATGAAAAATTGGTTGTCCATGGAGCTGATATTGTAAAAACAATTTTTTTTTTTTAAATTTCTAGTTTCTAGTCAGAAATGTTTGTAAAAGATTGGCCTCGCGTTAGATTCTAGAGCTAAAAGTTTTCAACAAGGTCGTTTTAGACCTCAGTTTCAAACTAATTAACTCTGGCGGGAAGTATGTAAGGATCTTAAGTTTTACTAACGTTTATTTTTATTTTAAATCTTTGCTATCACTTCTTATTTTCTACTTCCGGCCAGAATTAAAAGCGTTAACTTATTTATGCAAAATTTGTCTGGCGAACGCCAAGTAATTAAGTTGTGGCTTTTTGCCAAGCGAGAGAGAGGAAGGAGTTAGTTGAAGCAGGCCGCTTGCCTTAGAAGTTTTTCTCGGTTGCTGGTTGCCTTCCAGGCCAGAGGTTTAATCCTCTTGATAATTTTAAACGTATTGTAGTATTAACAGTCTCTGTACTACATACGGCTTCATGTTAATATACGGCCAATCTTCCACGTTATTATTCCAAAGTTAAGTTAGAGTTTAGTTAAATATTTTATATTCTTACGTTCAGACCACAAGTAGTTGGTCTCTGTATTCCGAAGTACGGAAATTATTGTAAAGAGTGAAAAATAAAGGGTTTCGTACACCCTTCCTGTGTATCTTGTCTACTTCCCACATTTATTGAACATAGCTTTAGTAAGCTCCCTGTTCCAAGTCAGGTCTGTGCATGTTCCCAAAGAAAGTAAGAAGGAACATTGAACCTGATAGTGTGATAATTTGTATAGTCTGTTAATTGAGCTCTTTTAACTTTTTCATTTTATTAATACGATTTTGAGAAATGTCATTACAAAGAATTTTAATTTTACTTCTTAAAACTCTGTTTCACTTTCAAAATAATTATTCGCTATATTTAACCTGTGTAACAAAATAAAAACTACAGAATGTTTAAAGAAAAAAGGAAGAGAATTCAGAATTCGTGCAACTAACGTACTCAATGAATTAAACTTTTACTGTTTGAAACAACCGTGACTTAGTTTCAAACGTCTGCCTTTAAATTCCGCTAATAGCACACCATTGTTGACGCTTGTTGGAGTCTGCTTTTCTAAAGAAAAATGACTACATAACGAAAATTTTGAATCAAACTGAAGAACTTGCAAAACTTTTACAGTTTTAACGCGTTGCTAGGTTGCTAGAAATAGAAACTTTCTTTCTATTGTTTTCGATTAGTTGGTGGTGCCATCTGTCTGTTGCAATTAGAACTACTGAGAAAAATCTTACCTTCATGAATTTCATCTTAATTTTAATGCTGAATATTAGACTTTAGTTTAAATTAGATTTAATTGCAATTTCTGCGTTATCAATACTTTTCCCGTTTTTACAAATTTTTCGAGCGTTCATTATATATGTGTGAATTCGGGGTCTAGGGGATTTCTAGGCTGACAACACACATCTAGGTGACTAAGGTATTCATTTAGTTATTGGTGGAGATTATATTAATGACTATTTACAAAATGGAAAAAAAAAAAGAATAATGATTGAGAGGTTACATCTTTGTTGATACATCATTTAGTCTTAGTCGGAAGCACGACCTCCTTATTTACCATCGTCCTGAGAACTGAATAGAAGAAATTTCTGGCAAATGTTTGAATATAATCTTGAATTGTATCTAATTTGAGATCACGGTGGATATACGAATTTGGAATGAACCATGGCGCGTTGATGATCTCTCTGAGTGCTTTGTTTTGAGGAACTTGGATGTGTTGAAGGGGAGTTTTGCAGCGTGACCCCAGACAGGACTAGCATAGAGTAATGCTGGTCGAAATATAGATTTATATAAGAGGAGTTTATTAGAAACGGACATATGACTTCTTCTGCCAAGAAGTGGGCGCATAGTTGCAAGCGTGATATTGATTTTTTTTCACAGTTTCCCTGAGATGTTTCTGAAAAGTCAATTTTTTTATTAAGAATGACTCCTAGATATTTAACTTTGTCAATCCAGTCAATTTCTTCATCAAACAGAAGAGGTCTAGGTGGAGTGAAATTTGTTTGGCCTTTGAGAAAAATTATTGCTTAAATTATAATAACCAAATGAATGAACAGTTAATTAATGGATGACGTAATAATTAAAGATGAAATGCAAATTTCATAACTAATTAAAAATAAACGAATTTTGGACACACCACAGAACAAGCTTGTTTGTTTACATTAGCAGTTCTTACATCACGTGACCTCCGACATCACCGTCATTGCTTACTCACACACATCACCAGTGGATTGCTTCACTCATTGAGTGAAGTCTTGTTTTTTGCTCTCTCAACTTGATTCATTTTGTAAGTATGATTTTGCTCTCACGAAAAAACAGATAGCCAGCAGAATGTCGATAGACAACAAAGGCAAATGCCTTAATAAGCCGAGGCCTACGTCCGATTTTGACAATGAAGTTCAACAAATAGTCCATCATATTCAAGAACTTAAAGATGCCATAGAAAAAGTACAACAACTGCCTATAACAAAAGAAAGCGTCCAGCTCCGACGATCCATGCAAGCCGAGCTTAAAACTCAGGAACAGAAACTTTACTCTTTCATCCCTAAAAGAGATGTAGATAATATTATTGCACAGTTCCCGCCTTCCGCTAGCAATAGCGCAAATGATTGGTCCACAGTAAAGCCTGCCAAAAGATCGCGCCGCGATAGCGGATCTTCATACAGCTCTCAAACAATCAGCACTTCCTCACTCTTAACAATGAAGAAATGCTTGATACAAATAATGATGACATCGAATATGACCCCTCAAACGGAAAAGCCTAAAAAACCTAACAGCCCTTATCCAAAAGATACCTAAAATACCAAAATTCCACCTATAGTCATTACAGATCTTAAAAACAATAACTGGCCTGAAATTCGTAAAACACATAAAAGAAAATTTAAAAATCACTAAGCTTGAAACGAAAATTGAAGGCGACAACATCAGAGTTCCATTTTTTAATGAAGATGATTTCCGTACAGTTCAAGGCTATCTCGAAAAAGCACCTATTCCATTCCACACTTTTCTCTTAACCAAAGAAAAGAATCTCAAAACAGTAATTAAAGGCTTATCAGCACAAACACCTATCGAAGAAATAAAAGAAGAACTTAAACTACATAAAATCACAGTCTTAAAAATTCACCAACTACAGAGAATGCGTGACGGAATACCCAACTATGCTCCTCGATTTTTTACGTTCGAAAAACGCCTAGAACACCACAAGAAAAAGAAATTCTTTAACATAACTCACATCAGTGATACGAAAGTTAGAATTGTTGGTTACAACTCCAGACCTGGCCCCGTACAGTGTTATCGTTGTCAACGATACGGTCACACGCAGAAGAGCTTGTCACATAATCAACCACGAGTTGCGTAAGATGTCTTGATAATCACCTTTCCTTCCAATGCCCGATTAAAGATAAAAAAGAAATTCCTGCAAGATGCGTGCTTTGTAGTGGTTTTCACGCCGCTACAAGTATTGATTGTCCGGAACATCCCAGTAAAAAATTCCTACAAAAACAGAAAATTCCACAAAAAGATGGTTTTCCGAATTTCAATAAACAAAACCCAGAACCTATTATAGAAGATAACAATAAGAAAACTTACGCGAATGTTACAGCACCCAAAGATAACGAGATAGAAAAAACCAAAATATCAGAAGTCAAAAATCTAGACGAATTTAAATTCCTTATTTTCAAATTAAAAGATCTGTACCATAAATTTACCAAAGTAACAAACGAGAACGAGAAGCTTGATTTCGCCCTGCAGGCACTAGAACTATTTGTTTAAGTACTTTTAAGCGCTTACTTGACCAGACGATGATGCAGCCGAGCGGTACGGGCCTTGAAACATTTTGCCCAACGAGATCGTAGGTTCGGTCCTAACCGAATAGTTAAATATCAAAATAGGATTTGTATTATATTTTTTTTTCTCATTATTTAATCCAGGATTTTTCTACTACTTGTATTTTATTTTTATATATTACAGTTTATTTTTATGTGAATTTATATTTTTCTACAAATTTTTTAATATGTACAGTTAATTTGTGAATGAAGATTACAGCATCAGAATTTTGACATAGATTATTGCCAAAACAGCTTTTATTAAAGCTCACGATTAACCCATGAAGTCTTCGATGAGATTTATATTAGTAGGAGCCTCACGGCTGATACTTCTTATATGTTTGAGGATCAAGGATCAAGGATCAAGCTTACTCACTCTCCATCTTCCCAATTTTAAAGTTTCTTTGAATCGCAAGGACTGTCATGTGGCTCTATGTTACATTTCTGGAATATTTAAATGTAATATATGAGGCATATAATTTTATTCTGATTTAAAAGTATCTTTTTCCTCTTGTTTATTTATTACATTTTCGGCAGTTTTCTTCAATTGCGCTTTAATCTTTTAACTTTAACCATCTCTTTCTATCTAGCCATTTTCACACAAACGACGCTGCGTTTTTTAAGATTACATTGTGTAGGCAAGTAATATAAAAAAATTGTGGTAAACATGTCTTATAGGAATAACGATTGCCGAATATATGTTGGAAATTTGCCGCCTGATATTCGTACGAAAGATATTGAAGATTTATTCTACAAATTTGGTAAAATAACATTTATCGATCTCAAAAATAGACGAGGCCCTCCATTTGCTTTTGTGGAATTCGAAGATCCCAGGTGTGTATACAGTTTATTGCTTTTAAATTTTCATTATTGATAGGCTTGTGCTTTGTGTTTTTAGGTATATCTTTGTGCATTTTTTAAAACTCGATTAATTTTTTTTTTTTTTTTTTTTTTTTGGTTAAATGAAAAAGAACAGTTAATTTGCAGATAGTTTGAGCTTCCAGATAAAAAGTTCTACAGATTACCTCTTGGATGTTTCGTGCAGGGAATTTTTGATATGCTGTTTATTTTTGAAGCATTTTGCAACGTGTTATAGCTTTTGCATTTTTCTTGTTTCTGGAAAGCTTTTCGATATATGATTGTTTGTTGTTCTAAAAAGTGTAATCTATATGTCGTAAAAAAATATGCATACAGTTGTAATTCTTAATTATACATATATATAGGGAAAAATATCCCGTTATTTACATAATTTTAACGAAAAAGTGAGACATATAACTTGAATTCTTGTACAGGATAGCTTTTGATATGCTGTACTATAAACACGAAACCTGCAAGCAGCTTAATCGAGTTTCTTAGTATTAAATTTTCAGGAGTGAAATCATGGATGTGGCTTACACTCAGAGTTATAATGCATCCCTTATCAAATTAAAGGTTCATAAAATTGGAGTTTGCTTCTAGGTGGATGTGTACTTCGATTAGTTTCTAGGTGGATGTGTACTTCGATTATCTGCACCAGCCATCAAGTTGCAAAAAGCATGGAGGTAATACGTCTTATTAAGAAAAAGTATTTATGTGCCATTCCATGGTGGCATCCAAAAGTATTTATGCAGCAATTCTGGTAGCATGTGTTTGAGTACACATGGATTTGCTCTTTAGAAATTCAGCAGCTGATTTTCTGATAAGTATTTCTCTTTGCATCTCATTTTCATTGTAATGGAGTGTAGAGTCCCCTGTAACATCCTCATGCTATTTTTCTGTTATGCACCTACCAGACATTTTGGCAGTATTCTTGTTTATACACACCTTGTTCCCATTTAAGTGCTATCGTTGGGTCCTACCATATGTTTGACTCCTCTTTCATGGACACCAAAGAGCATTTACTTGCGTAACAGAACAGTACTGCCATCTTCTACTTTAATTATGTTGGAGTGTACATTGAAAGGGGAAAGTGCAGAATCGCCCACTGCTTGGCACATTTCTAAGAATTGCACATACTCGGTATCCATGTGCACATCGACCTATTTTCACTTAAAAAAAAAAAAAAAATCCCAGAATTGCACAAAATGGCATTGCACATTCCCTTGACTTTATCCATGTACACATCGACCTGTTTTCACTTAAAAAGTCAAGGAAAATTGACAAAAATCCTATTCTTCTTTCTATTGTAAAAAGTGCCAAATGCCAAATAAATAAGTGGGCAATTCTGCACTTTATCCCATTGAAATTTCAACAGTTCGTTAGTCATTTTGGCATGTCGAAGTTGTGCATGAGGCTAAATTTGTGTTATTGTTTTTAGCGAAAACAGATTAATGTATATGTGAGAAGAACGGAGTAAAAATACCTCATGTTTTTTTCAAGAAAGGTGTATGTTTTATTTTTTTTAAGGAATGTAAGAAAAGTCATGCTTGATGCTTCATTGAAATAGACATAACTAGAAACAAACACTTTCTAAAATCAGCAATAAAACACTTTTGGTAAAAATGTTGATAATAAAAAAATGCACATAGCATGCATCTCATATCTGAACGTTGGGTTTTCATCCGCAGAGAACCCGTTGGCGCCGTTGCATTTTTACTTGCCAAGCTCGCGGTTCATCGACGATGAGCCGAGCCGTAAACGGGATTTTTAGTGCATGTAAATTCAAGTTAGCAGACAAAACAATATATTAAGCGTATGGTAATAAAAATTCACAGATAATAAGCATGTAGATGTAAAACTAACCGGTTAATGTGATATACGAAAATTAATTTGTATTAAATTCAAGTTAGCGCAGAAAAGAATATATTAAGCATTTATAACGGAAATAAAAATTCATTTAAGAAATATAAATTAGTATTAATATACTGAAATTAACCGGTTAAACGTGATATACGAAAATAATTTGTCTTAAATTCCAGTTAACACAGAAAACAATATATTCCTTACACCAGCAGTGGTTTGCTAATTTTGATGACCATGGTAATGCATCAAACTATTCTGTCATCTTAGATAATCTTACACCAGCAGTGGTTTGCTAATTTTGATGACCATGGTGATGCATCAAACTATTCTGTCATCTTAGATAATCAATAATATTTTTTATTTCAATTTAATCATCTATTTATGTCACACCTGCCATCCTCTGAAAGGTTATTGCTAGAAAAGCATTAACAATATATTATCTTGTTAAAATTTTACGGCATAAAAATTGATTTTTTCTCATAATTTTAGATGACAATAACCAATAATAAAAATAAAAGCATTACTTATTTATTTAAAATGCACGTGCTTATTTTTGCGGTCTATGAAAACAAATTATTTTAGAAGTTGGAACAGCATAGTTCTTAGAGCTGTTAATAATTAAGAACACAACATGAACAGCCGTGATACAAATTAGCATTCATCCCTCCTTTCGTCCTGAACCGAGAACCGGCATCTATCTACGAAAATATTTCTATCTATACATTGTTAAAAAATTCAGATAAAATAATAATAAATAAGGGAAGAATAATTTAAATCTGCAAATCCGAACAACAACAGTGATAATTCAACTTAATGAATGCAAGAGGAGTGGTTGCAAACTTCGAACAAGCAAATAGGATAAATTCGATGGGTTACTAGGTTTGAACTATTATCACCAAAGTTGGCGATGTTTACATTTACCGGATTCTCTGCGGAAGTGCTTCCGAACATTGTCCACTGCCTGTAAAAATGTAATTATTGGCAATGTAGATTTTCCTCCATAAAATTTCTTAGAAAATACTTTTTATTATTATGTACAGAGCAGTACCTATAAGCTGTAAAGGTAGGTGTCGATTTTTCATGGAAGCGTGAAACTGCTAATTTTAACCTCAGCTAAACATTTTCACTGACATCAAATTACAACTAGTTTTATTAATCAACATACAGGTGCCCTAAATATACATATGAGAAGAAGAGATGCTTAACTTTTATTTAATTTTCTGCCAACAGATTAATCTTAGCAATTAAATCACTTCGGGCCCAATAGAAATGAACATCCCTGTCACACGTATTTCAGTAGGATAAGCAAGCCCTGTTTTACATTATTATTTTACATAGTGGTGTTTCAGGAAGTTTTTATATAGTCAACTAACTTCATATCTGTTATCAAATCTTGTAACTTATATTTTTGTTGTTACAAGTGCATAGTTTGAGACTTAACTGGATTTTAAAGTTTTGTTTTGTGTGATTTTGAAAAAGCATCGAGGGCTATTTGCCTAAGGGGAGGGATGACTTTCTAATGAAAACTGGCTTGTATACACATTACAGTTGGAGAGAGGCACGAAAACGTCCATGCAGCCACCCTGTTCGAGGGATTGAAACATCCAGTGGTATTTTAATCATGATCAACAGGAAATTGACTGGGACTAAATTCAAGTTGCAGGCAGTTTAAAAGAATTATTTGCAGATCAATTGATACAGATCTAACTGGGTCTGAGAGGGTTAAAAAAAAACTTTCATCTTGAAAAATGATTTTTTTCATTTAATGCATAAAATCCAGTCCTGGCAGGACAAAATGTCGCTAATCTTTGGAATATGGTAACATGTAGTTTGGTGACATTTTGGTAAAGCGATAAAGGTTACTAGCTAGGACTTTAGCAGTGTACATGGATATAGTCAAGAGTGTGCGCAATGCCATTTTTGTGCAATTCTGGGATTTTTTTTAAGTGAAAATAAATGGAAGTGTACATGGATGATACCGTGTATGTGCAATTCGTAAAAACGCGGCAAGCAGTGGTCGATTCTGTACTTTGTCCCAATTTCGCACCTAATCTTCATCATGATTAAGCACTTTTGTTCCATAAAAGTTCTAGCATAAGCGTAATTTGACTAGCATATTGTTGGAAAAAAATGTTGAGGGGGGGAAAAAACATGCCTTTACTTCGTGAAAACAAAATGGCGTCCAAACAAAAACTAGCAGGGTTGGTCACCAAATTTTCGCCAAAAAATCGCAAGTTACCATAATTCAAAGATTAACCCAAAATTCATAGGCACAATTGTGCGTTAAAAACTTAGAAATACAGAAAGGATCTTAAAACAGCACTTTGATAAACTTGTTACTATTGCATGAACATAGGACCTTTTAATTTTTCTTCCCCATGTTTGTAATGTATAGCATTTTCTGAGAGCATTGCTGTTTGGCAGAGTATATGCACTTTGTCTTTTTAAAATTAAGTAATCAGCTGTTAATAAACTAATTAACTTAAAAGCTGTATGTTGTAGTGCAAAACAAGAAAATTTAGTTTATTTGTAACATGCTGTTTCACATTGTTTCTGTTCAGCTATGCATAAGTTCTCGAGCATATATTTTAAATTTTATCAGAGTTATTAATTAGCAAACAAAGCAGTATAAAGAGACTACTTAATTTAAATCTTGTACTTAATAATATATGTGATGGATGTAAATTAAATTAAATTTGGTTTATAACCAACTGATAATTTTTGTGAATGTAATTTTATTATAATTATCAAAGGATGTTTCTGTTACTGTTTTGTGTAATTAGTATTTTTTGTAGTAAACATTAGTGTAATTTAATGGTTTCAGATTTAAATTTTTTAAAAAATTTGAATGAACAAAGAGCTTTTCTTAAACATGTCACGCTTTTCAAGCTGATAAAATATAGATTCTTAAACAGTTTCTTCGGTCATAACACTTATCTGCTGCAGTGAAATGAATTATGGTAAGATTATTTCGCTCTAGTGTAGAATTGGGTGACCCTTCGATTAGCAAATTTTTTTAAAAAAAATTTTTGCTATGAAACCTCACTTCTGGTTACCATGATAGTTTTAACTTTGTTTTAGCTTCCTGATTTTATTTAAATGAAAAGAGAGTGATGTATACATGGAGTAATTTAAGGCAGTGCCTAGTTTGTGCAATTGTAGGTTTTTTTTTTTTTTTTTTTTTTTTTTTTTTAAAGTGAAAACAGATTGATGTGTACATGGACACAGAGTTTGTGCAATTCTTTGACTGATCATTTTGGTTTTGTGTAGCAGCCATCTTGAAATTGTGCCTTCGTGGTGCCGATTTTGGCATCAAAAAAGAATCACCCAGAAACAAGAGGCACCCAATTGTAAACTTTTACCGATTATTTAGCCAAATAATGAAGCAGTTGGTGTAGAGTTGTCTTTAAAAAAGTACTCCACAAAGGCATCTGTTTTCTTAGGTACATAGCTCTCATTTACAAACCAAATTAAAGGTGCTTGGTATGTCCAGGCTTGATGCACAGTGTATGTTTGTGCAGTTATCAAATTCTTCCCAGGCTTTGAGAGCATATCTGGATCCACTTTTTCCCTGCTGTAATGTGCATCTTCAGTTCGGTTAATGTTGCTGGAAGTTGAGGCACATAAACAGTTTTATATAAACCTCTACAAGAAGAGATATCTGGTGGTCTTGGAAGCCATTGATGTTTAATTGAATCTTCAGTTCCCGAATGGGCAATTCATCATTTATGAATGCAATTATTAAAAATTTCATGAACTTCCAAAGTCCAAAAAAAATCACTATAAAACAAGGAAGGAATTTAAGTGTAGCCTTTTGATATTTTATTTGATGACGACTAAGATTACGTAATTTTGGACAAAACAAATTCGTTATTCATTTGTCTCTTTCACTGTGAATTCTACTTCGTATGTGCTCGCTGTCTGGAATTTTATCTTATTTGGCATACAGCATTTCCCGAGTTTTCTGGACAGTTAAGGTTTTACTGTAGTGTTCAAATTATTTGCTCCAATACGAAATATGGTTAAATTAGATTCAAGCAAAAAAAAAAAAAAAAAAAAGTAAGGTTGTATTTTTTTATATGACTGAAAATGTACTAAAATGTAACTGTTTAGAAAGAGCATAAACATTTTTTAAATTTCCCTATTATTAAATTTATTTTCCTAATTTGAAAAATCCCAGCTATATAAATATACTGCTTATAAAGTACTGTTTATCTAGAATGCTAAAGATATTAATTAAATTTATTACAGGGATGCAGAAGATGCAGTTCAAGCACGTGATGGTTATGATTATGATGGATACAGATTGCGTGTTGAATTTCCTCGGGGAAATGGTCCAGGCAGGGGAATGGGTGCACCAAGAGGAAGAGGCAGAGGGCCACCTGCAAGACGATCTCAGTATCGTGTATTAGTGTCAGGTAGGATATAAAATTATGAACGTCTTTAACCTTCTTGCTGTGTATCCCGCGATTTCCACAAGCAGCGCAGAAGTAGCAAAATTTGTGCAACCTGGGATGCATTTCCTCCCGTTTATTTAACTGTGCAACCCGCTTTATTTCCCGTTCCTGGTTTTATTTCAGCTTTTCTGTGATGTTTAATTATTTATTCAGATCTGGGTTAACAGATGGCATCAGTTGTCCATATTTCTGCGAAATATACAAACACGTTTTATGCCATTTTACATGCTCTTTTCAAAGCTCAAAGATGTCTGTGGTTCAACTTTCAATCACATGAGACTAACTGCTCAACATTTTGCTAGATATATATCCCCCCAATTCCATCAAGAAAGAAACTTGTAGACATTGTGCTGTTTGTTTAAAAAAAAGAGCTGAAACTGGCAAAAAATTCTCAAAAACACATGTATTTGCTGCAGAGATGGCGAGGAAGGATGCCTCGAGTTTTGCTTCGAAGTTTATCGTATTACACTTCATTTCTAATAAATGTTGTGCTTATTTTCATTAGTATATACCTTTTACCATTATATTTTATAAAATAAATCATAATTTAATCAAGATTAATTTTCAAAATTTTTCTTTATATGATTATTCTTCAGTTTAAATTTTCCGACATTTTTTTATTATCTAATTCTATACAGAAAAAAAAAAAAAAAAAAAAAACTTGTACAAAAATTTTTGTATATTTTAACAGTATGAAATATATGTAGATTTAAAATATGTAATTAAAAATTATGCAATTTTTGAACCTATTTTGATAAAAAAGTTACGCAGCGAGAGGGTTAAAGATGCATTGATCTTTTTCTTTGCAACCATCTTCTTCTTAGCTATTTAATTTTTGCTACTCTCTTGCCAGAATAAATTTCCTGGAGCAGGAACACTAGTAAACTATATAAAATTTCATTTTGATGATTATTAATATTTAATAGGTGTCAGTAAATGCAGTAATCGGTTAGAATTGACTGTAGGGTATCCCTTGTATTGTCGCCAAGTTGTTTCATTTATGGCAACCTGAGTAGTTGAATGTTATGGAAACCCTTTTATGATGTAATCATTTGCATTAGTTGATGTGATTCATTTTATGATATAAATTAATAAACAGTATCATTCTTTTTATGATGAGAAAAGTTTAGAAGAAAGAAAATATTATATTAATTTGTTTGTCATATTAATTTATTATGCTATTTAATAAGTTAATTTATCAGTATATAATATTGGCATTATATAATAAATTAATTTGTTTGCTGTAAATTCCGTAACAAATTTTATAACACAATTAAATATAGTATTTGAGATCTCTATTATTAATCTATTACAGTCAAAAGTCGTTAATCCGGACTCATCAGGACTTCGGCGATTCTGGATTATTGATTTTTCCGGATTATAGATCATCAGTTTAAATCTCGTAAGATGGCATGCAGAAATTCTAAAATTAAAAATATGAAACCATAATTTATGAAATAAAGAAAATTATGATATAAAGAGTATCAAAATTTAGAGAAAAAAAGCTTAATATTTATTTGTTTACTTTATTAAACATTTCTTTCAATGTAGGTTGTTTAAGTTGCTTCGTTTTATGAGATAATACTTTCTCTTTAATTCTATAAACAGACATAATTTCTTGTTCAGTTACAAAGTTCTGCTGTTCAAGTCCCGTAATTGCTGTGCCGAGAATACCGACTAACTTGTCAAACGAAATTTTTTCGTTTTCACTAACCTCTCTGTCACCTTTTTCATGTCTTTATCCATTTTTTGCAGCAATTCCACTTTTTGTTTGATGGACATTGGAACATACTTTTGTTTTGTAGATCCTTTGGGAGCTCCAGTATCGGAAATTCTATTTGACATAATCAAAAGTTCAAGTTTACTTTTATAAAATTGCTCTTACAGTCTGCAAAAAATAATAAGCCGGAAATAATTCGAAGATTAAGGAACAACGCAATCATCAACATTAACTGAAATAGATAATTTTAGCGTATACTGTCCGTTATACATAAAACACACACACGAAAACATATTCTGCGCTTGCACAGTCGTAAAGGTCCTACGCGCGCGTGTAAATGCCTATGCGCATGTGTCAACTCGGCGCATGCGCAGAAGGTTTTTAGCTTTGAGGTCCGAATTAACTACTTTTGACTGTATTCGTATCAGTTATTTTAATATAATTAATTTATCTGTTATTTGTATCAGTAATTCAGGATTCAAAATCTAAACACAAAAATGGTACTAAATAGAAAACAAAATTACTTACTGTCTGTTACACTATGAAAAATGCACATAGATGATAATCTGCAATCATCATTTTCTGTGTGCATTCTTTCTTGACTTTGTTTTTCTAACCTTTTAGTTGGCTGTCCCATATAATGGGATGCCACTGGATTTCAACCTTCAGATTGCAGTCTTCAGCCATGTTTGTTTCTTTTAACTTTAATTCATGTTCCTGCTGCTGCTGATGATTTCAGATATTCTCTTTGGTTATTGGTAGCTCCATTTTGTGTGAAGTTCAGATTTTTTGTCTATGTCCGTAGTGACAAAAAACTGGTTTTTATCTAGCAAATCGGCTGTGTCAGTTGTGTTGGATTTTTGTTCTTAGCCCAGATAGGCACTTTAAAGAACTAGAGTGTCATTTTTTCATCTGGCTGATTGCTGTATCTAGGAAACTTCAGATATTTAATATCCATTGCAGTAAAAGAACATATGACAGTGTTTCCAGTACTAGCACAAACATCTGGTTCAAAGGGGGGGGGAAGTCTGAAAGGTTTCATATTTTAAATAACATCCAAAGGGGCTTTTTTTTTTAACATTTTGTGTGTAACCTTTATTAAATATCATGATCTTTGCACTTAAACCATAAAGTTCAGCTTAAGCGCAATATCACAAAATAATTTTAAAATGAGCGTATCTTTAGAATTTCCGATAGTCTTGCGCACTGGAGATAAAAATGTTTTTTCTGTACAATATTGTCATTGCTCACTTTGAAATGCTTGAGTTTGTTAATCAGAAATTCATTAAAATTTGACAAAATATGAAATTGATAATAAAACAAGTTTCAAATTTGGTCTTCCAAGATGCCCATATTTCGCAGGAGGAATACGTTATTCAAAATTTGATGGCTTTATGTACCATTGTTTTATCAAATTGTAAGAAACATACATTTATGCAGACGCTTCATTATTTAATTTCTTTAAATACAATACAGGCCGATAATATTTGGTGGTAACAATTTGAAAAGTAAAACGCTTGTAGTGAATCAACGCAAAATGCCAAAACAAAATTAATAGTCCTTCTGGCCAAATTTAATCTTTGGACTAATGATGATGGTTTATAATTGCAAAAAATACTTACTGCATATATATATTTTACACAACCAAATAACCTGTATGCAAGTGTTTTTTGTTTTTGGTGGAAATATCAATGATCACTTTCAGAAACATTGTAGTGCAGTTTGTTTCATTGCAGCTAAACTCCACAAGTTCATATTTTAGAATTTAGTTTAAGACAAATAATAATGATGATGATGATACAGTTTTTCTGTAAAAAACATTGAAACTTAAAAAAACAATGAAAAAATGCATGTTAAAACTAAAGAATTGTTATGTGCAAGTTTGGCATATTTTAAAAATTTGTTGACTTCTGCTAAGGTGGTTAGGCAATACGTAGGTACCTTTTTCTGTATTAAGTAAACAAGCTTTTGTCCATTTCAGTTAACTTTTTTACTGCTTGAAATCATATATTCCTGTTTGTGTTTTGGTTCAAATTTTGTATCCTGTCCAAATAAAAATTGACTTGTTGGTATCCCCCATGAGCATGAAAATCATTTGCAAAACTGGCTAATATTCACATAACTGAAAATATATGATTTGCTTTGCTTATCATAGAGTATTCATGTATGAAAACAAATTTCAGTAAAGGCCTTTCACATGGAGTATAACTTCTTAATATACTGATTTTTCACCCTCACGTTATAGGTCTTCCTTCAACAGGCAGCTGGCAGGATTTGAAAGATCACATGAGAGAAGCTGGAGATGTGTGTTATGCAGATGTGCATAAAGATGGAACTGGTGTTGTTGAGTTCCTGAGATATGAAGATATGAAATATGCAGTTAAAAAATTAGATGATTCAAGATTTCGTTCTCATGAGGTAAAGGAGTATGTTTCATTATAAAATAATTTTTTCAGGTATTATTTGAATATTAGTTTAAATGTTTAGTTTTGAAAATTAATATGTGAAAAAGTTAATAGAGATTTAGTCTTGTCCAAAGGGTAAGTATATTCAAAGCTGTGCAGTGACCAAAATCTTCAGTTATTAAAAAATACGAGATTCATACCAATGCAGAGTTGCCAACTCTCCCGATTTAGGCGGGAGACTCCCGATTTTCGACCGATCTCGTGGAACTTGGCAAAAAAAGTGATTTTGGATGTCTGAAAGCAATTGAATTTTCTCTAGATTATATCTAAAACAAAACGTTGCGAATCAGATAACTTCTGCTTTGTGAGTGAGAGCATTATATCCCAGAAATGTCGTTCTCCAGTTCTCCGAAGGGCATCGAACTCCACTGCGTGTCAGCTGGCATATATTAGCCAATGAGGACAAGGCAAGCTGTTATTTGGATGTTCTGTAGTTATTTTGTTCATTTTGTCCTGAGTTGTGTGAGTGCACATGCCTTCGGGAAATAGTTTTAGAAATTATCATCTTTTGTTATGTCTGTGAGAAAGGTGAAATACTTGTGTACGTGTCAAAAATCGTACACAGTTGACTTTCCTTCCATTATTTCTTCAAGGAAATGTAATAAATTTACGATGTGTACCGCCTGTCGTTACGACTTTTTGATTTCGCTATGTGGAAGGGCGGATGTTCTCAAACATGTGCGAACACAAAAACACAAGGATAACATGAGTTGTTTTTAAAAAAAATGAAAGATTAAATTTTTCTTCGGAAGCAAAGGACAAAAAAGTTATTTATTCAGAATGTCTGTTCTCTGCCTTTTCACTGGAGCAAAACCTGCCACTGAATGCATTGGATCACGCTGCAGCTTTATTTAGAAAAATGTTTCCCGATAGTGAAATTGCTAAGAAATACTCAAGTGCAAGAACCAAAACAGGTGCAATTGTTAAAGAAATGGGTTTCAAAAATAAATCTTCATTTATTAATTGCACAAACACAGCTCCGTTCTGCCTCTATGGATGGAAGCAATAATACCGATTCAAAACTGTATCCAATCGTTGTTTCTTTTTTTAATCCAGAGTCTTCAGAAATTGAGTGCAGTTTACTTTCTGTCCCCACTTTAGAAGGACATTTGACAGGCTTTAATATACCACAGCTAATTATTAAACTTTAAAAGAAAATGCAGGCCCTCTGGGTAATTGCTTAGCACTTGGTGACGATAAATGTACCAGTATTGGTAGGCTTGAAGACTGGTGTTGCAGGCATCTTAAAGGAAAATTCAGATTTGCAGATTATGAGGTGTACCTGTCACCTCTTAAATTTAGCAACTGAAAAAGGGACAGCTTCTTTACCAATAAATGTGAATGAACACATTGTTGATGTTTATTATTATCTTGAAAGGAGCTCTAAAAGGAAGGAAAAATTGAAACAGTTCCCACAGTTGCATAACAGCAGTGTACAATTAGAAAACTTGAATGAAGTTATAAAATCAGCTAGGATTGACACCCAGTGGAGTTTAATTGGAAAACTGAAAGGTGCTGATGAAATTTTAAAATATAGTGAACGTGTAGAATTGTGTTGGCCATCTTGACAGTTCCCCATAGTAATGCAGTGTGCGAGAGGCTTTTCAGTGTTGTTGTATAAACGAGGACTAAATTTAGATCTAATATTAGTGATGACACATTAGAAAAACTTTTATTAGCAAAAGCAGGCCTCAGTGCTGGATCTTTGATTTTTCTGATGTGGGGCAAAAGCTAAAACTGCCGCCCTCACCCATCATCCTTTAAGTTTCTTTAAAAAGTTTTAATTTCTTTAATAAGTACAGAAATAGGTAGGGTTTAAGGTAAAGAACCTAAGCTCCATTTTATACTAAATTCTTTACGTGCCTTTTTTTTTTTTTTTTTTGGCTATAAAGGAAAAATACGTACCAAAGTTACATAATTAGAAAATTGTCCCCTCCTAGGAGAATCGCCTTTCTAGTGAGCGTACTTTCACATTCAAGCCCATTCCTAACTCTAATCCTGAGTGCTTCTAACCCTCCAGTCCTCGCCACCATTTGTTTTCCGTTCTAGGGACAACGGGCATCCCCTAAGCTTCTCATTATTCTGTATTATTGCATTACTGGTTAAATTAGGTTGGGTTAGATTATATGAATATGGCAAAGACAGAAGGGCTACCTGCTTAGAAGAAAGGTGCTTTTGTGGAGGAATTTTTTAAAAGAAACTGGCTCGTATTCACATTACACATGAAGAAATCCACGAAAAGAAACCATGCAGCCAGCCCGTTCTTCTGGGTTTGAACCCAGGCAAGGTCAAACTACCAGTATTCAGCGGTCTTAATCACTCAGCCACTGCTCATGACATTTGTTTATTTACTATGTGTTTCGCCATTAGGCACTGCATGGAAAGAGAGAAATGCCTTGAGAAAAATTTTTTAAGGAAAACTGACTCGTATCTGCTTAGAGGAGAGGTGCTTTCGAGGAGGAACATTTTAAAGGAAACTAACTCGTATTCACGTTACACATGAGCAAATCCACGAAAACAAACCATTTAGCCACGCCGATCGCCTGGGTTTCAACCCAGTGAAGGTCGAATTACCAGTATACCCCGGCGGTCTTAATCACTCGGTCACTGCTGAGGACATTTGTCTGATTATTTACTATGTGTTTCGCCATTAGGCTCTTAATGGAAAAGGAGGAATATCCCGTGGAAAAAAACTTTGTAAGGGAACTGGCTCATATCTATGTTACACACGGGGAATACCACAGAAATGCTCATACAGCCACCCCATTCACCTATACTTGACCATCGGACCGAACTACTAGTGCTCAGCGGCTTTTATTGCTCGCCACTAATGGGACCATTGCATACAAAATATGGGCTATTGCCGAAAGGAAGTATTCTGAAACGATTATACAGAATATGGCTATTACTGAGAGTAATCGCGCTTCCTGTCTTTTTTTCATACTTCCTATTTCATAAGTAATTTTAAGTTATTACCTGCCTTAACGCTATTAAAATATCACGGAATTAGTAACGAAAATTTAAATTTTACTCTGCAATATTTTGTTCTGCAAATAAATGCATGGAATCGTCATAATTTGATCTGCGGTTTGATTTTCGGTTGCCGGAGTCGCGAGACTTGATAAACCCTCCTGGTGCATTTAACGATGTTTTTGCGTGATATCTGTACGTAAGGGCAGAATAAAAGACTCTTTTCCTCCAAAAAAATTATAAAACTGCTTTAAAATGAATTCTGAAGAGAATTTTTCGTGGCGTTTGTACGAACGTGCGTGCGTACGTACGTATCTCGCATAACTCAAAAACGAGTAGCCTCAGAACGTTGAAATTTTGTATATAGGACTGCTATAACATGTAGATGTGCACCTCGTATTTTGGTTGCAAACGGCCGCACCAAACGTATATAAATACTATATTTATATATATATCCACTCTGTTATCCGGCACAGTGATCTCAGTTTCTTTACTCTTATATGTTTGTAAATTGTACACTTTTTGCTTTAAAAATGATTGAATTATGTTGTTCTTATCTTCCATTTAAGTTTTTATGCCTTTCGTAATTCTGGAAGCAATATATGTACAATTATCAACAATTTAAAAGCTGTTTAAGTGAGGTTAAGTTTTAAATAACATGGCAGACATATTTGTTTACATTTGAAACAGCAGAATTGTAGATATGTTGCCAATCTAGAGAGACTAAGCTTCGCAACACAAAAAGAACGCCTTCATTTATTATTACGAATTAAATCATGCTTAATCCTTTCTGGAATTTTTTCGAGGAAATAAGTGTTTAAGATTTACTTCGTAATTTTTAATGCAGATATTTTGAGTTTTTATGTATTTTTGCCTTGTTGCGAAGTGAGAACTGAATTAATTGAATGAGAAATACTAAATGGTCTATGAAAAACTGTTTCTTTTCTGTTTTGTTTGCTTAATTTCTTTCATACATTGTTTTAGCTTTATTATAGTATTTGAATAAAACATGTGGCAACGATAATTCTTCCAATGATATAAATTTTGTGCATTCAGTGTCGTTATAGTAAACAAATATAGTGAATTTTAAAGAGTGCATTTATTCTATTGTGGTTTATGTGCTATCAACGAAGTAGATTTAATTAAATCCAAACAATTTAAATGAAATTCAAGAAAAAAATGCGTATAATTTAATATTCGGTACAAGGAAGTCATGGTGTACACATCAGATTTTTTTCTATATGAGTCACATATGGGATAAACATGATTCCTTTCCCTTTGTTAGGTGCTTTGACTGGTACTGAAGAGTTAAATTATGTTTGGCAAGCAGAGAGATTAAATTCAGAAAATTTCCTTCGCTAGGTCGAAGACAATTTGTGAACAGGCTACTTGGGATTTCATCAGACCCATGAAAAGAACGACAGTTGCTTGAAAGATATAGTACCTCATCCATGACTATATGGAATTTTTCTCCATTTTTCTGTGGATATATATATGAATGAGTCGCTCAGTGTTGTGATCGATGCCTTGGCACGATTTTATTTGTTGTACTCGAATTTTCCACTTAATCATGCACCTCTGTGGATTCCAGACGCTTCGCGCTCAGTTAATCTTGCTAAAACCTTTTTCCTATTAATGAATCCTGTTGTATGGTGTAATGGAAGCACCTTGTTTCTGATAAATCTTGCAGGATGTTCAAAATTTGCATTCTTGTTTTTAGAATATGTAAACCAAGATCTAAGCTTTTCATTATTTACTAATGTTCTGTATTACATGTCAAATGTCTGCCATCAATTTCAATGGGATTGAGGTTTACGTTTTACTGGATGTTTACCGGCTAATAATACTGATTGACTGCTTAAGAAAGATTGTTGGTGACTGTTCATTTTTTTTCTATGACCAGCCAATTGCATGCGTCCGACAAATAAAAAATTTTTAGTTTTTTATCCTTCTGCTGCCCGCCACCATCTAAATGAACAGACCATGGTTTCATGTTATATCATGGTTTCATGTTCTCCAGCTATTCGTTTGATGTCGATGAAGAAGATTTTTCTTTCAAATGCTAAATTGTAGATTGTTTGGGGATATGCAGTCATGTTTGGTCGTGCAAATTGCAAGAAATATTAATAGTCTCTAGATTCTCAGCATAATCGGAATTGCAGCAAGGTCTGACGGTTTACTTCTTCCGTGAAGTTATTTTTTCATCTTAGCTGAAATTTGTTTTCTCTGTTTGGCCTTATCTTTGGCTCGTTTTCCGTATTTCGCTTTTCTCCCCCTCGGCGTGCAGATGGTTTCTTTTAATCTAAATGAAATTCACTATGAATTGCCTTAATAACTAAAAATTGACATAATTATACTGAACAGTCCTAAATAAATGGTTGTTTCTCGCTAAATATAGTGAGGGCTATTAAAAGCAAGCATATCTTTAAAAAAAAGTACAGAAGAGACCTGAAAACTAAAAAAAAAACCATAAAAATAATAAATCTAGCGTTAAAATTCAAAAAGCGCTCCACTGTTCCGAGTCAAACCAAAGGTGAGCCTAAGTTGCCGACTGGCTGGGAAAAAAAAAAAAAATCTAAATGCCTTGCTTCAGCTTGAAGATATAATGGCTGTGTTTTGTATATACTCGATGAATATTAATTTGAATTGTTTCATTTGTCCAGGACGGCCCAAGGTTAATTTTTTGGGTTAGCTCTTAAAAAAATAGTTACAATGCTTGTCCATTTCCCAGCAGACGTTGCTATGGGAACTAGGCAACTTCTTCAACAAGCTATCATTATATTTCTTATTTGAATACTACACCCTGCCCAGACGGCAAATGATACAGGGACTTAAGATGTTATTGATAGAGTCAGTCTGATTCTATCAGTGACTGAGTTCCTCAATTGGCCTCTTTTAGGTCTTGTATTTATAGTTGTAATCTGCTGCACTTTATTTTAACACATGTTCCTTTAAAAGGGTTCTTAGTATTTAATTATAAATCTTCTTTAAAGAGGTTTTTAAACTTGGCCTTAAAACTATTAACATCGTACTAAAATTACACAGCTGTTTTAGCGAACAACGTACCAAAACGATCCAGCGTTATATTTGAATTTGCCGTCCTCAAAAGTTGCCGCTCAGGGCAAGAACACCCCGGCTTGCCCCCCGCTAGATCCGGGACTGGCAGGCCTATGTGGCAGTTGCTGTGAACAAAATTAGGAAGTTTCTTTCTTAAAGAAAGCAAAATCTGCCACTGTTTATAACATTTATACGAAAACTGATTAAAGTCCCCCCCTTTTTTTTTTTCTTAAATGATTCAAGTAGTAAAATTTTTTTTATGTGTATTTTTGTGCTGCTTGCATTTAAGAATTAGTTACTATTTAAAGTTAATTCATTATTTAAAACTATATTTTTATCATTTAAAAAGTCTTTTTAACAATGTGAAAAATTTCCTGATTTTTGAGTGTCATAGGTTGGCAAGTATGCCAATGGTTTCAAGCTTGGCCTGCATTTTGGGTAACTGGAATAAAAAGCCGGAAAAAATTGTATCAATTATCCTAAGTTCGGGCATCACAATATGGCGAAAAATTAATATTAAATGAAATTTAAAATATGAATGTGGAAAAACATTCAGGTTAAATATGCTTCAGACATCTTTGAAATGGCTGAGAAATATTTCTTAAAATCTGAATCAAGATGGTGATTAATCCAGCCTTTTTCTTGTACTGAAAATGTTAACTTTTCCAACTATAAATGTTTGTATCTTTTCCAAATTCATCTTGGGTAAATATTTTTCAAAAGAGAAATATATGTGGTAATTTCTAAAGACATTGCATTCAAATTATGTAAGTATCAATGATAAAGGATAAACATCAACATTATAATTTAGTTTATCTAAGAAATTTCTCTAATGCAAAAAGTGCGAAACAAAAAATGTAATGAAAATATTGCAAGCAAAGAAATACATTTCGAAAAATTGGCATGTGGAATATATACAGTCAAAAGTCGTTAATTCGGACACCCATAATCCAGAATTATCTATAATCCGGACCTCAAAACTTCAAACTTTCTGTGCATGCGTCAATGCGACGCATGCACATAAGGCCTTTACGGCTGAGAATATGCTTGTGCGCGTGCGCAAAATACGTTTACGAGTGCCCGTTTAATGTATAACGGACGGTATAAGCTAAGCTAAAATTATTTAATTATCTATTTCAGTTAATGTTGCAGATCGCGTTGTTCCTTAATCTTCGAATTGGATCCGGCTTATTATTTTTTGCAGACTGTTAGAGCAATTTTATAAAAGTAAGCTTGAACTTTCGATTATGTCAAATAGAATTTCTGATATATATTTATTAATGTGTAAATGATCTACAAAGCGAAAGTATGTTTCGAAGTTCATTAAACAAAAAGTGAAATTGCTACAAAAAATGGATAAAGACATATCCTTTGTTTATCTTTAACGCTGATTCTCGACACAGCATTATAGGACTTGGAACAGCTTAACTTTGTAACTGAACAAGAAATTATGTCTGTTTATAGAATTAAAGAGAATGTATTATCACATAAAAAATGAAGCAACTTAAACATACATTGAAAGAAATGTTTAATAAAGTAAATAAATAAATATTAAGCTCTTTTTTTTTTTTTTTTTTTTTTTTTTTTTTTTTTTTTTTTTTTTTTTTTTTTTTGTAAATTTGATACCCTTTAGATCATAATTGTTCTTTATTTCATAAATTACGGTTTCATATTTTTAATTTTATAATTTCTGCATGCCATCTTACCAGATTTAAACTGATGATCTATAATCCAGAATCGAAGTCCCGACGAGTCCGGATTAACGACTTTTGACTGTATTAAAATTATCACTGGTTCTAAATTAAATATAACAATCATTTTATAATTTGTAGTTATGAAATTAATGTTACATCTCAGTTATGTTAAGATGAGTGGCAAGTTATTTGTGCTTCAGTTGTACAAGTTATTAATCTATAACAAAAGCTGACGATTTGTTAAAAATGTGTGTAATAAATTTAACTAAAAGGAAGTTGTGGTTCCGAATCGAATTTTTTAAATTTCCTGTAATTGAAAAAAAAAAAAAAAAGAAAGAAAGAAAGAAAGCCTATAAATGCTAAAAATTCCTTGTAGTTGTATTGAATTTTATTTGTTTAATTCACTTTGATTTTAGTCCGTACTTTGTTCTGCCAATTACAGTCCTTAATTTTATATGCAATATCTACTTGTCTCAAATTTTGTAATACATTTGTCCTTTTCTAATAATGTGTCTGTCAGTATTAATTATATACTTTAAAAAAACACAACATTAGAGTATGCATCCTAATTTTAGGTTTTACGACTCTTTTTTTTACTTCAGTAATTAAATTTTTTTAACCCCTGTTAATAATGTTTTTAATTGTTCAGGGTGAAGTTGCTTATATCAGAGTAAAAGAAGACTTTGGTAGTCGTTCAAGATCAAGAAGTCGAAGTTATTCTCCTCGCAGAACCCGCGGCTCTCCAACCTATTCTCCAGCCAATCGCTCACGTTCCCGATCTCATTCAAGATCGCGCTCATAAACTGTCATTCTGAAAGCTGTTTCATTTCCAAAACTGGTATCTGTATTAGATACTATTACTCTTTATTGTGTGTTAATATTTTGTCACATTCAGCACCTCAGATTAGTTTTGTATGACAATCTGTTCAATTTTTTTTTTTTTTTTTTTTTTTTTTTAAAGTTGTATGACACCTCTTCATCATTGTTAGGAGGCAAACTTACAAGCGCTATAAGGCATAATATACTGTTCTTCCAAACATTTAATGTTTTAAGTTAACTCTAAATTCGAGTAAATTTTACTGACAGTTGTAAATTTAAGTGACCAAATTTTCTTTTATCAATATTAATACAGAGTGTAATAGTTCAAAATATGTGATAAAATGCTTGAACTGGACATAAAATATTTGTTTCTGTAAGAATTTTTATCAGCATCACCTTGATGGCATCCATACTAATGGCCTAGGAAAGACGTGAAATATTTGAATATTTTTAGTTATTAATTTGAAATATTTTGTGACTTATAATTCTAATTGCTAGGTTTTTTCTTTTTTAATTGTGCAGTTTTAAATGGAATGACTTTAGCTGTTTAACTTGTTTGCTCCTATTGCAGGAAAAATGAAAGTATTATGTGGCCCCATTGCTTCGGAATTTTTTAATACCACTATATGCCCAAACACTTTTTGTTATCATGTTTTAATATGCAAAAACATTTTATATCAATCTGCTTTGTCTCAAAATTGTTTATTTTTTGGCTCCATGCACACTTTTCGCCATTGTTAGAAGATCATTCCTCCCTTTCCTTTTCAAAACTTGAAAAATAAATATGTACATATCTAGGTTTAAAATATTTTTTTTAACATGTGTTATAAATTAAACCAAAAGTGTAGAAAATACTAATGAATACCAAAACTTGAAGTATTTTTTTTTTTATATTCATAAACTGATTGGTTTCTCCTCTAAAACTATGAAATTCCTTTCCCCAGTTTATACATGTAAATAAAATTAAAACAAAATACAGTGTTATTGATGGTGACCGTACTTTTTAAGAATATCTGTGTGTTCAACAAAGCAGAAAACTTAAAAGTTGAGAAGATGAATGCATATTGTTCACTGCTATTGTTCATTTTTAAATTTAAAAAAAAAAAAAAAAAAAAATGTGCTATTTTTAACATTTCTAAATTCTGTTAAGTACAAAACAGTATTCGATATTTTAATTTCATATAATAATAAATGAAATTCATAACAATATGGTAACTGCTCAAGGCATACCATTCAGTTTTTAATGGCATAATATCATTTTATGATTTTGAAATTTCAAACAAAACATCCTGTTGATTTCAAATATATACAGCAGGCAGCTGGTAGCATTTCTCTGCATTGAATTCGATGCGATGCGGGAAGCTATTGCTTGATATGATGGGAGCAAAGAAGTTAAAAAAAAAAAAGAAAGAAGAATCTAATTCTATATAACATTTTTATCTAAACCTGGCATTAAGAATTTGTTTGTATTCAGGTTGTCATTTTTGTTTTTGAATACTGACTGCTGTAAATAAATAGAGCTGCATGTATGTTTTGACTGTTGAATTGCATAAATGGTAATAATTAATCTGTTACCGTAACAGTAGTATGCTCAATATTTATCATCATGCAGAATGAATTGAAGTTTAAATAATACATGTCAAAAGTGAACTCTAGCTTTTCTTTAAAACTTTATTAAATGAGATTTATAAGTGTAAAATGCAAGTTCTATCCGGTATTCAGTTTTGTTAACTTTTATTAATGTATAATTTTTGTCATTTCATCTGTAATATTTTAGTTCAAAGTTTGTTAGAATTTAGTACAGCTAATTAATTCATATTTGCATAAGTTTTATATGTGCATTAAATTTCATTGTAAAATTTGTAAAACATTTTGTGTTCAATAAACTAATCTAAATTTCACTTATTCTCAGATTTTATCAAAATGTGGAAAACCCTGTTGATGAAATTGAAATTTGAATAAAATGGATTAAAAGGACATTAAAAGGAGCTGACATTATTTAAATGGACCCTTAAGCAAGAGCAGCGTGGAATCATTAAGGAAACCGCTAGGGTTATTTTTAAATGTAACATTGAAGGATTAAAGGAATGTAAGCAATTTACAAAGGAGAAGGACTTCTGTGCAAAACCTGGATTTTGGCGTGTCCTCTCATAACTTTGCTTAGGCTACTCGGTTGGATTTCATTTCCCAAATTGGATTATGCCATGGATAGGAGCACTGTTTAGGATTAGCTTCCCAATTTGGATCACTGTCTCATGGGAGCAAGTTGGAATTTTTCCGCTTAAGGAGATTATGGATACATAAAGACATGCTGGGAAGGATTCGTAATTCCAAATATCACAGGATAGGAAAGTGGGACAAGCATTTTTCGTCACAGGAGATGGTCTCGTGAGGATGATGCATACGTAAATTTTCTCTGGATGAACCAGGAAAGGTGGAAAGGAATTAGGTATGAATAATAAGAAATAAAACATAGAAACAAGTGTGCATGCTTGTGACATTATAAATTCCTTTCAATTTGGTTCAGTGCTTGGGCTTTTGAAATTTAATCTTCATCCTGTAAATAATAAAAGTGCTCGTGAAACTTAACATGATAAATAAGAGTAAATGAGCTAAGGCATTTTTCTTTTAATAATTATTCTTTTATTAACATCTCTTGGCAAGTGGGATGCATAAAAGCTTGTGTTGTATAATCTGTGGTGCTCATAAATTTGGTAATGCTTCTTTATTTTGTGTGTGGTAAAGAATGGTATATGATTGCACAGGATGTGACAGCTTAATTTCTAAAACTTGTTGAATATATATTATATATGTGTGTGTGTGAAACTGTGCACTGGTATGTGGAACTGTGCACTGTTATTTTCAAAGTTGGTATATCTCCACACTAACTTAAAAGCGATGTCCTCATTTTTGGCAGTAGGCACAGAATTAAATTTCCAGAATGCTGTTGAATACATATTGTGCATTTCATTATCTATAGTCTCTGTTTCTTGAGCAAAGTTTTTAATTTTGATTGTAGCTAGAAATAATTTTGAATTGAGTTAGTAAGCATGCTAATTGTTTTTCTTAGCTACAATGTTCATCACAAGAATGAGTGAGCAGCATAGACTTTGCAGAAGTCTTTTGTATGTGTGTGTGTGTGCCTAGTTCTGTAATCAAAATCAATACAGTTGTTTCTTTTTTTAATTTATTCTTCAGTCTTGAATCTTATATTTGTTAGTTTATTGGATCTTATGTCTGCCATATTGTTAACATCAACATCTGTCGTCATATTTTCAGCTGTCTGCTTTTAGAGATCTTCTGGCCCATCTCTGAATGTCTTAACCCACATAGATACACTGTACTTTATGATGCTATGAACACACCGATATCTACATTTATTCGAGTAACTTAACATTATGTGCAAAGAACGTCTATGTAAAGAAAGAAAGGTTCCATAGATGTAATGTAAACCAGTTTGTCTTCTGTGCCGCTAGAATGAAAAGGGAAAATTCGGCAAGGGATTTGGCAATAGAATCTGTTGGCGAGAATTCCCCCCTCTGTGATGTACCGGACCTGGCCGAGATTTTACTCCTCCGCAACGTGTACAGGAAATTGAGGAACAGGCGTTAAGATGAATAAGAAAATTAGGTGAAGTTTTACTTTCACTGGCTGTTGAACTTGCATTATCCATATCGCAGTTTGATGTCTGATTTTATATCTGTCAATATGGAGGGGGGGATGGAGTCACACAGCTTTAAACTCTTGATAAATGTGACCGTCGAACTTAGACTTCAGCTTTAGCGCATTTTGGTGACAGATATTTCACGCATGCACAGTTGCTTCCCTTTTCATTTGAAGGGAGCCACTTCTGCTGCTGTGAAGTTTTTCTTCTTAACAATACATATTCTTTGATTATGTGGTCATTTTGGAAATTGCAGATATTGAATTTCGATAAGTTAGTGAAACTATATAATTTTATGTGCATTTGCTTACAGTCTAGTTAATGATATTTTTGTTTGAATCAGATTGAGTGAATGGTAGTTGTATTAAATAACAGCATGATGGTTCTCCCCCTCTTAATATTACATCAGAATGAGCAAATTTATATGTATACTCAAATCTGTTTTTGTGCGATTATGCAGTCCCTATTCATTGCATAAAAACAGGTTTAAGTGTAGGAATAAAAATAGTTTTTGCAACACAATTAAAAATTTTTTTTTGCTATGTGGTGAATAGGGACCATATAATCACACAAAAACAGGTTTCAGTGTACAGTATTGCTTCAGAATTACCATTATTTATTACCACTGAAACAATTTTATGTACTTTTGCTTTATTAATTGTCAAGCTTTTATGCACTAGTTGCTAAGAAAGAAGTAACAACATGAAATACAAAGTATGTTAACCAATTATTGCCCAAGAAAAAATAAGTCATAATTTCAAGCAGTTATTAATTATTACACTTTAATGCTTTTCCACCCTGTTTTAAATGGTGAATGATTATGATATTAAATTTATTATGTCTTAAGTGAAGAATATCATAATCAATTGTTCTTTTCTATTATCTACCTAAGGTTTCCTGCATCGGATCACTTGCTAATGTACAGAGCAGTAATATTAAGGATTGGATGCATGGATTCCTCCTGGACACGTGGAGTGGATCTTGGAGGATGGATATTCATATGTATTTAACATATATTTGTAGGGGGCAGGTATTTTTCTGTATTGTAGGAAATGTTTTGGGACTTCCATCCCTCTCAAAGAGAAAGGAATGTAAACTATATAAATTCTTAAATATTTTGTGTTCATACTACTTTTCGATTATGTACTGGCATTATTTTTCTGGTTTCTTAAAATTGCCAAAACTAAGCTGGTAATGTGTTCTCATAAAACAAACTGAAAATTAAAAAAAAGAAAAAATGGTTTTATAATCTTTTAGATGAAAGCTTCCTGATGTAAACTAATGAAAAGGTAAAAATAGCATTGTGTACCTGCAAGTTTTATCCAAGTACATTGTTAATTCTTATTTTTTAATAATAATTACACATCAGAATTTTTTTGTTCCATGCTGATTTAAAACTATTTGCCAATATTTATTTATTTATTTTTTAAAGTTCTCAAAGGAAATAAAATTTGGTAGCTAGTTCTAAAATCCCATGTTATTTTTTTTTTTACTACAGTTACTATAAACATTCTTTTTAGAGAGCAATACACTCTGCAGATCTGATTAAATATAAATATGTTTTAAAAAAATAATTTTTTCCTTTGCAAAAATATTTTCTATATTCAGTTAAGTGTAGAATATTGCTTGAATGTAACTGTTTTGCATTATTATGTTGGTCTCGAAGTGCACAGTTTAACTTTGTTGTGCTCTTGACCTTGCAGGTCTCGAGACCACTTATGCCTTTTTCCCCTAAGAATGTGTAGAAGATATCCCATAGCTCTTGCTTCTGACTATCATACAGTAGAACTTAATAGCATATTGCTAATGCATTTTAATGTTGTTTCCAAGGTAGAGGGATGATTGCAAAAAAAAAAAAAAAATTATCACTTTGGTGATGTCATCATATGAGAGATTTATGCATAAAACATCCGTTCCTGCAATCTTTTATCTTTCCATATAGTGCTGTATAATACATTTGGAATTACAAAATATTTTTTCCATGTAATTCAAATCTTCGTCTGCTTTTTGAAATTCTTTAGTGGTCAAAATTTCATTTTTTTTTTTTTATCTTTATAATATATAAACAATACTCATTTTCCCCCCTTGTAGACTGAAATTTTAATGAGTGGAAGTCTCTTTATTAATGCATTATGCTTAAAAACATGGATGGGGGGGAAATATGTATCCTTAGAATTTAAAGGGTTTATTTATTTCTTTTTTCCCTCTTTTAACTTGTAGTTGGAAAAGGTAAGTATTCCATAGGTGGGTGTAGATTTTATGTGATATTTAAGTTTTTTCTTGATATTTGAGTAGAAAATAAAATCTGAATCCTTTTATCCTTGTCCTGGTGTGTTTTTGTTCTAAAACTGTAGTCTGAATGAGTAATTTCTTACTTTAAAATCTAATCAAGTATTTCTAATTAGGATGCATAAATTTTCAGCAGATTGCATATGAATAATTAATTTAGTAATACAGTTAATCCATAAATGATAGAAACATCATACTTTGAGTTTTTCATATTTGCAAAATTTCATGTTAAATATCAGTGTTAAAAAAAAAAAAAAAAAAAAAAAAAAAAAAACTTCGAAGTGCTTAACTCATCAAATTCATCCTATTTTCTGAATAGTTTTAAGTTTAGGTATTATAACAGTTTTTATATTTCTTTAGTGAATGTGTATAGTATGAGAACAAAGTATGTTTAAAAATGATTTTTATCAGAAACCATTTGGTATAAATGCAAGTCATTACTTTATATGTCATGATTTATTAATCAGACTAATACAAGCTTTTGCATGAACATAATTATGTATTGGTTTACATTTGAGTTTGAAATCAGTTTCTGTTCAATTATAAATAATTATTTAAATGAAATTATACTAGAAAGTAATTAATATTACCAAATTTAAAACTTTATACTGAAATTAAGTAAAACTCTTTAATTAAAAAATAATTAAACTCTGAAACATAATTTTCAATTTCCAGTAGTTCATTTTGCGAACTGCATTTGAAGATACGAAGTACTTAGTTTGTGCATTGAAGCAGTATTGAGGTTTTTGAACATATGAGCTTGTAAATGGCAATTAATGAAAGTGGTGAATATGATTATCTTAAAAGTTTACTTCAGGTATAATCTTTATCGATACATTTGTCTTTGTCTGTTGCCAGCTCTGCCGTTTGGTCACAAAATTAAGGAACTGGTCTACACCTCAAAGTAAATAGGTGTTCTTATTACAGACTAGGCCAGGGAAATGGTTGAAATATACACTCTAAAAAAAATAATATAAGCTCTAAAAAAGGTTAAGGAAAGTGAAATTTCTCTAAAAAGTCAACGAAGTAGGGAAGTATGCTGATTAATTCTCTCGAATAGTAAATAGGTTAAGTAATAATCATTAAACCAAAATTGCCCATCTTGAAAGCAAATTAGTTATTGTAATGTTTTTGATTTTATCAACTTAATAGCTTTCATGCCTATTAATGAGCTATTCACCTTTCTGTTTAGAAATGTGACTGTTCAATCATCACCCTTTGTAGAATTACCACATGTAAAACTAAATAGCATGGTTCAGAAGTCATTACATTGTGTGATTGTGCATTATAATTGTTATATTATTACATATTAACTGAATCTGGTTAATTAGCTCATTAGTTTTACAAGGGTATATCAAAAGGTTCTTGGATTAGTTCTGTTGATAAAAAAACATATTACTTAAAAAACTTTGAACATTTCTTTTGAAATAATCACCTTATACAGGCTTTTATTGGAATGCGATCTCAAAATCATTTTTGTAAGCACTCGTGGATGTCTTGGCAATCCATGATGTGATATTCTTTCTGCTCAGGAATTCACAAAGACAAATTTGATAGCAGTATGCCCTATGTTCTTTTCTGATGTTAGGATTGTCTGCACGGACCTGTTCAAACCACTGCAGTGCCTGTAGTTAATACTGATCATTCTCCATTACCTGCATGCACAAGTTCCTGAACTCGTTCCTCATTTTTTAGGGTGATGTTGATGGAAGGTCTTCCAGATTGCCCATCAAAGGGTGTTTCAGCACTTCTGAAGTACCTGTGCCTTTCGAAACATTACGTACAACTCATTGCTTCATTGTCATAAACATGCAAGTGCATGGTCAGTGTTTCTGTAGCCTATTTGCCCATTTAACACAGAATTTCACATTGGCTTTTGTTCATGATGTAATAATCGTGGACTACTATGTCCATGTAATTACAGAAATACTACTGCAGCAACTGTTGACACTCCCATAGTGTTGTCTTTTGCTACACTGCTTTATCAAGACTAAAAGTCACTGTAGCTGCAAGTGCAGACCTGTTTTGCGTCTTGTTGGTTTGCTACAGAGCTAATCCAAGAATTTTTTAATGTAACCATGTGCTTTAAAATGCTGCAGCATTATGTTTATTATAAATGATCTCATATTTTAAATTTCTTTGCAGAATAAGCATGCTCCCCCCTTCCGAGTGATTAAAAACCTTACCAAGCTTTTTTTTTTTTTTATTTAAATTTATTTGATCTAGATGATTATTTTATATATTTTTCTTACATATGCTTCAAGGTAATGAGTAAGCTAGATTAGAATTTTTTAAATGTTTTTGATTAATTTAATGTATTTTATAATTATTGCACATTATTCAATTATGATATTTAATTTGATAAACGATATCATCACATTTGGTCAGAGAAATCATTCAACTAGGTCAGGGAAATTAAAGGTTGAATTTCAGTAGGAACCCTGCAGATGCAAATTTTCACAAATTTTTATGTTGGTAACTCAACCAATATCAGCAAGTACACAGTTACAGCACATACTGCCAGCTCAAGCTTTAGAACTGGAATTTTACTGATTTGTGGTAACCGACTCTGTGACTGAAACATAATCATGAGATTGTGGGCCCATCTAACCCAGTTAAGTGAGAACTCCTTGTGAATTGTGTTAGGATTTGCAAGTTCATCCAGAGTGGTTTTTTTTTTTTTTTTTTTTTTTTTTTTTTTTGTTTTGTTTTAGTTGACTTTGTTTGTGTTGCACATGTAATTATCCACATTATTTTGTATTCTTTAATTTGAAGAGATGCTTCCTTTTACACAGTAGGCCATAAATTATATATCGTTCTGTCTTGTTAACATAAAATCGGCTATTTTATGTACTGAGGCTTCCATTATTTATACTTGTCATGCTTACTTGCACTTTACTGAGATCAGATGTGATAACTTTCTTCACTGCCACTACAGTATTGCGTATTTTCTGGCAGTTTTTTAGTTTCTGATGCTGCATTTTCAATTTATACTTTTTTTTTTTAATCTAATTGTTTTCATTATGTTTTCTGCCATCTATCTATTCATATGGAAAATAAAAATGTTGCTGCGATATTTTTTTTTTTCTGTTTATGTGGAAATCTCCTTACAGTGTTTTAAAAACTTTGAATCTGCATTTTGGAATACTTTAAAAATAAAAGAAACTTCTTTATTATTTGTTTATCAAAGTTATGTAAAGAAAAATAATATATGTGTAAGCCTGACTTTTGAATGATTAAAAGAAAATATTTATTTCTTATTAATGCCACAAAAAAGTTCCTAAATGTCATAAATTTTCTATTAATGATATCAGAACTGTGAAATTAAACACATATTTTTATTTGCCTAAATTTGAGAACTTAAATTGCCATATATCATTCCAAGTGCTCAGAATCAGCTATTTGTCACATTCCAAGGACTTAGCCAAATGTTAAAGAAAATATAAGTAATTCTGCTCTGGGAGTGAAAATTGTTTGTAATGTTTGGAAATATCTAAAGTAATGAGTAGCAAAACTGATGGCAGATTTGTGAAGACTGAAGAAACAAGGAAAGTTGTTACACCTGTGAAAAGTCTTGCATTTAGAATCAAGAAAGACCAAGCTGACCAAGATTTGTTGTTTATTGAGTACAACATTTCATTCATTTTCCTTTATTTAATACTTGGTAATCATTAAGTTTTAGAGTTTAGTCCATTAGATAGATTAACTCTGAAATCTAAATGTTAGTATAAACTAGTTCACATTGTAGATAATATTTTTTATGGCTACTGTTATGTAATATGTAGCATTTCAGATAGGTGATACTATGCATTAAATTCACAATAAAGTTTAAATGACTTTTGTTATTTTTTTAATTAGATATTTAAAAATATTTTTTGTACTTAGAGTAGAAGTTTCGTGAAACAGTACGCTATTTACCCATTCCAATTACGCTCATTCATTGCAAAAGTATGTTTGTATTTATAAACAGACTTATACCAAGCATTATAAAAAATTCTAAAGTTATTTAATAAACAGAACTTGTGATTTCTGTCAGTAGATGCTGTATCTTTTTCTGCATGAAAAATATACATGCTCATGTTAATGTTAATTTCCAGTCTTGAATATTATACAATTCAATCGGTTCCTAAATTAAAACTTTGGCTCATTTTCCCTAAAAAGTTCATGATAGTTATTGAAGGTGAAAACATGTTATACAAAAGCTGATGTGTACACCACATGACTTCCTTGTGCGGAATATTAAATTATACGTATTTTTTTCTGCATTTTATTTAAACTCATTTCCTGCAATTTCATGAGAGATATATTTCTCATTCAATTAATTCAGTTCTCATTTTGTGACATGGCAAAAATACCTATAAACTCAAAATAATCTCATTAAAAATTGAAAGATAAAGAAAAACATAAAACACCAAATACAATTAAAATTACGGTTACTGTTCAAAAACAAGCAGTTCAACCAACAGATAAGGATGCAGATTTTTCAGTGCAAAGCTGATATGGGGAGGGGAAATAAGGTTTAGCCTTACTTCTTGTTAATTCTACAGATATTGCATGCAGATTAACTAAAGGCAAAAAACCTTTATGAGAAGATAAGAATAACATATTTCATTTATTTTTAAAACAAAAATTCCACAATTTACGAGCATCATAAGAATAAAAAAATGAGTCGAGTAACAGAGTGGGTAAAGTGTGGCTGATTGCAACCAAATAGGGAGTTGCACAATTATATAATATAGCAGTCCTATATACAAAAATTCACGTTCTGAGGCTTCTTGTTTTTGAGTTATGTGATATACATAAGTACAGATGCCACAAAAAATCCATTCTAAATCAATTTTATAATGAGGGGGGAAGAGTCCTTTATTTTGTTCTTATGTACAGAGTCATGCAAAAACATCGTTAAATTGCATTCGATAGCTGTCAAAATGGATATTTTTGTTGAAATATGGTACACAGTATTTTTTGTGATTACAACACTTCCTTTACTTCCTACAAGAAAGTAAAAAGGAAAGAATAATTAAAAATTATTCCCAGTTTGTGTGTATCAGCTTTCAGTTGGTTTTCTCAAAATAAGCAAGAAACACACCACATTCAGCATCATTTTTTAACAGTTACTGTTAAACGTGTCAAAGGAGATTTTTACCCTTTATATCATTGCAAAAACACTCATGCATGAAATGCATTTTTTGTGGGGTTAAGTATTAAAATTGTAAAGTGCTTGTATGGAGATTACGCAGGTCAGTTTATTTTTTCTGTAAATTTCCTCCTCCAAAGTTATAAATGATTTTAATAAATCCAGCTAATGTAACTTAATGGGTTAGTAATTAATAATACTTTAATTTGCATTTATTGCTTTTAAATCACTTTGTTTGCTACTAACAGAATAAATAGGAAAGAAAAATATTATTTTATGCTTTGCTGAATGACTATACTATCATTGACGATGTGCAGTCTCTACATGTTTATTAAATTCGAAATACAAGTACACAGTCGCCCCATGTTATCTCTTATTAAAATCTATTTAGTAAGATAGTAATTAGCAATTAATGTAATAATTAATACCTAAATTATTTATTAATTTGTAAAAAAAAATGCCAGATGAAATTTGAAACTTCTGGCATTCAGTGTCCCATTGATGACATGAAGATGACCAGTACCATCTACTGACATGCATGACCAAATAATAACACTAACTGGGTTCTTCACAGTTGCTTGAATGGAGTCAGGATGTAGCTCTTCTCCTATTCGACGTCTTGCATATTTTCGCCCATCACTACCGATTAACGATATCTTAGTTTCATCATTCCATATAACTTGTGACCGTTGATCATCTGTCCAATTAATGTGTTCCTTTGCCCACTGTAGTCTTTTTTTTTTTCGTTGCTGAAAATTAAGATACTGCTTTTTTCGTGGAATTCTACCTCTCAGTCCAACATCTGTTAATCTTCTCCTGATTGTTCTTGAACTGACAGAAACACCAGCATCATTCAGATCACTTCTGATGGCTGCTGATGACATTTTTCTATCTTGGAGACATAGTCATTTTATTCTCCTGTGAACAATAGATGTGGTGCACCTTTTTCGGCCTTTTCCTTCTTTGTTTTTTTATTGAATTTGTCTCCTGATATCAAAACAAAACTTTCGCACTCCAGATGTAGTCACTGAACCACCCACTTGTCTTGCAATTTCAGCATAAGAAAGACCACTTTCTCGTAACACAATAATATTACATCTCTTTCTAGGTGTCCAATCTACTCTTTTTTTTTCATGTCATTGCTTCTTGACTAAATGCTAAAAATTTTTACAAAAATTCCTACTTGTAATTGCAGTGTATAAGAAACAGGTTCTCCTTCTACAGAACAAAGCAAAATAATGAATTGTTTCAAGTGTAAACATGATGTCAGCTTCTACTGGAAGTTACTAACATTTGATTGGTTCTCATAACAAGAACAGTGATTGGCCAGCAAAGCTAGACATTACAAACCACTTCATAACTGTGTTTTTTATTTGTATTACAGTACATATAACTTTTTTTTGCATTGCGAATAATTGAATTTTATGTTTTGTATTGAATTCAGTAATAAATTCTCTTTAAAATGATATATACAAGTTTGCATTTTGCGAAACGTAACATTTTCTATAAGCATACAAAGTTCAAAAACAAAAATTTCCAAAAGTGTCCACAATTTTGGCCACCACTGTATATGCTGCAGTTACTCCTAAGAGATGTACAGTCGTATCCGGTGAATTGGACAACTGGATATTCGGACCAAATCCCAAAGAACCGAAAGAACTCCTATGTACTTAAGCCTAATATTATTCGCTTATTTGGACCAGAATTCCGTTTAATCGGAACAAAAAACGCGAGAGCGAATAAGAAACAGAAGCCACAATTCGTCCGCGTACAGCGGATGTACAGGTGGTCTGCGACATATGGGAGGATCTGTAGTTGCGGCTGCCCGGGAAAATGCTTTATCAAAAGTCAGAAATTCCTTAAAGTGCATGATAAAAACAAAACCGGTGGGAGGTGAACACGCGCACCATTTTCTTTGACCTGCGCTTCCGAGTTTCGAGGACATGAACAATAGGGTGTCTGGCTCCACCTAAAAGGAATGGAATTCCCGCCTGTCGGTCATGAATAAAGTGTACACGAGAAAGCTATCATTAGTGTCAAAGCTGTGAATGGCGAGCATTTTATCTCCCACTTGACTCAACATCTTGAACCCGAAACACCAAGGTTTCTTCAGACCACTTTAGTTAGTGTGCGTGTCTTGTCTTCCCTGCCAAAATGCCACGACGGGACTTGACGTTATCTGAAAAAATTGGTTTCCTGGATAAGATCAAGCAACAACCACGAAACACTAGTCAGCATCGTTTGGTGGAAATAACCGGATTGTCAAAGACTACAATTTTGCGCTTGATAAAACAAGAGAATGGGCACAATGTGAAGGACGAGGAAGAACTTCCAAAAAATGGAAGCGTGAAGGCAAGGATCCAGATGTCGATGATGCCCTTAATGAATGGTTTGCCCTTGTTACTGGACGATCTATGCGAGTAAGCGGCCCAATGTTAAAATGCAAAGCAGAACTCGCTAAAAAGTTGGGCCACGATGACTTTAAAGCTACGGACGGTTGGTTGTCTCGATGGAAATCTAGACATGACATAAAATTCAAGAAAGTGCTGATAGTGCAAATGCTGAAGAATGAAAATCAACAAAACTGCCCGAGCTTCTTGAAAATTTTTCAGCAGATGACATCTACAATGCTGATGAGACTGGGCTGTATTATCGTGCTACACCGGACGGCTCGTTAAGTTACAAACATGTTGCGCTCTCTGTCTCCAAAAAAGCGATGGATCGCGTAACTGTCTTGTGCTGCTCAAACATGTCAGGAATGGACAAGAGGAAGCTGTTGATTATAGGAAAAAGCAACTAAGCCTCGCTGCTTTAAAGGATAGGATGGAGAGTTTCCAGTTGTGTATCGTGCAATCAGAAATGCGTGGATGACCTCTGAACTTTGGCTGAAGGATTGGGACATCAGAGCTACAACGCCAGTCGAGAAAAGTGCTGCTTTTTCTTGACACTTCCTTATTTAGATTGCTTGATGAACGTCCAACTGGAATTTCTACCTCCCGGGACCACAGCTTTGGTCCAGCCAATGGACATGGGCAACATAAAAAATTTGAAAACCCTGTATCGTGCAAGGTTGGTTAATTACATCCTTGAAGCAATTGAAGAAAGTTTGCTGACCTCATCGTCAAAAGCCAACGAAGTCATTGCAAAGGTCAACATCTTACAAGCAGTTACATTTGTGGCCGATAGCTGGCGAAAAGTGAGCAGTAAGACAATTCAGAACTGTTTTTCTCACTGTCGTTTTAAGCACTTGGTTTTGGAGATGGATGTGGACATGCTCATTGAAAGTGAAAATGATTTACATGTGGAACTTCAACAGGTACAAAATTGCGAAAATTTTTTGTCCATTGACAACGAGCTTCAATGCTACGATGAAAATGAAGATTACGACGCTACGCTGCACTCGTTGCAGCAAAACACACGACAGCTTCGGAAGACCAAAAAAGTGGTGGTGATGATGCCGGTAATAAGTTGGTGCAAGTGAGAGCACAGGATGCGAGGAAATGCATTGAAACTTTGCGTCAGTATTTCATGCAGGATGAAAACGAAGGCAGTCCCATTGCTGCGTTAGATGTTTGTGGCGATTTGGTTCACGTGCATTCCGTCAAGAGAACGCGTCAGATCACATTGGAAAAGTTCTTCAAATGTTGACTGGAACTTGGCAAGAAATGTTTTTATTTTGCTTCGCATGATGAATATCGTGGAGATT